ACCCTAATAATATTTACAATTTATTACATTCTTATACGAAATTATGTATAATTTTTATAAGAATTTCTTTTTTAAATCTAGCCAAGATTTTTCAATGCAATTTAACATTTCAATTTGGCAATTCACCTATTTAATCGACTCCTGGCTCTAGCGGCACTATCATCAGGTGTCGTGGCATTACTGCCCACAGATGATGGGCTAATTGGCTCAGTCCTATTGCCAGCCTCGTCCAATAGAATAAGCTGCGTTTGGCGCGCAAACATACCATAATTCTCTGCGCACTGCGGCAATAGAAATAAACCACAAAAATATAATTTTCCTTCTAAACTAATAAATAAAACTAGGTCTGTTTTTTTATGACTCAATTAGTGTACACTTTTGAAACTTAAAGTGAAATAGGTATATGTTTAATATTTATCGAACATAACAGAATTTTAATATAGGAATAAAAACAGATCTACTGCTCTAACGTTATCTTAAAATATGGACTATTCCGCGTGAAGCGGATTAATTATCTCTCAGAAATTTTTTAAATTTTGCACGTAGATAGTGCTCTAGAAGATAGAATTTTGTATAATAATTTTTAAATAACAAAAACTCCTGTATAAATCAAATATAAACTTGGAAAGAAAAGGACACTAGGAGTTAAGCGCAGATAACTTTATGCTAATATATATCAAACAAAACTTTTTTATTATAATAATTATGTTTACATGTTTCGATTCATTTTTTATTTTTCTTCAGAAATAATGAAATTACTTAAATAAAAATAATAAAGGATCAAGAGATGTTTAATCACAGTGAGCTCCCCCACAACCAAGAAATAAAATCTGATGTTAAGGCTCCTGAATACTCAGCCAAGAACTCCGTGTTGATGGGTAGCGACACCGAATTAGTCGGTGGCTAGAAAAACTAGTAGTACGCTACTGGTTATACATACAAATGCAAACTCATGTCCGTGTGCTCATTTTCGGGTAGAAGGGGAGCGCACAGCCATGGGTTCATGCTTGTGTGTGTGTATAACGCCTCGCCATGGTAAAAGTCTGAACTAATAGGCGTGAAAAAGTGATGTTTTGACGACAAATTTTTTCTTGCGTGCCATTTCGTCAATATTTGCTTATTTGTGAAAATGTGACTTCCCTCGTATTCGTGAAAGTCCTAAAAATTGGCGGAAACTGCAGTTATCGTGAAATTTTGTACGTAGAAGCGTATATTTCACTCGTTTCATTAGCTGTCAAAATGTGTGATTCTGCCCGAGTATAGGCTCACTTTACGTGCCTTTTACGACCATTTACTGACTATCAGAGGAGGAAAGGATAGTTTCCGCCAATTTTCACAAGTGTTTTTGAGCGATCTCGCCTTTTAAATTTATCCAAATTGTCTTTATTAAAAAATGGGACGCAAGAAAAATTAATGTGTTTTTCTCGCCTATGACGCCACAATTCCAACATGGCCGTCGCCGGTATTCAGGAACCTTAATTCCATCTAACAGAGCATATTACAATAAAGGAAAATAAACAAATAAATAAATAAAAAGAGAAAAGAAATGAATAGTATGCTGAAACTAAGAAAATCTAGATTATTTTCGAGAATAGATTTATCAAAATTGCAAATATTATATCGGGAGTGAGGAGGCTAACTATAATGTTCACAATAATACCGTATCGCAAATATTACTTTGAATATTCAAAAACCGGTCTTTAGAATAATGGGCAAATCAGTGTCAGACACAGTGAGTCATTTTAATTGTTTGACGGTATTAAATTGAAAATATTGAAAATACAAATATCAAATGCAAAGACTCAGCTCCTGTGCAAGCGAGACTGACTATAGACAGACGTGATAGGCTGCTTTCCTTTTAGGAGACACAGTCGATATACTTGACACAAATCGACACACGTCGCTTTCCATTTACAATTTTGTTAAAACTCAATCGACACACTTCGCCTCTGCTCAGAGTGTGTTTCGAATCTATTCAAGTGTGATTTTGATGAATTAAGACAATTAAGTGATATTAGAACGCACTCCTTGCAATAATCGAATCTTATGCGTCCATTAAGATCAAAATTCAAATCTTTTATGATTAGGTATTAAAAGTTCGTACACACGATACACACACACTGCACATATCGCGTTCCATTTAAGTGTGGCAAACTGTGTTCGAGTGTGTTATACTGTGTCGATTTGTGTCTCCTAAAAGGAAAGCAGCCATAGACAACAACACTATTTATAACTTGTCTATGATCGGGAAGTAGACCTTGGAAAGCCTCTCCATGTCCGTTTGTAAGTTTTCTTTTTTTTTTTCTTTATTTATTTGTTCATTTCCCTTTATCTATCAAAGGAGGAAAGGACAGTTTCCGCCTATTTTTACAAGTGTTTTTAAGCGATCTCGCCATTTACATTTATCCAAATTGTCTTTATTTATCTTATATAAATGACAAGAAAAATTAATGTGCATTTCTCGCCTATGACGTCACAATTCCAACATGGCCGTTGCGACTACTCAAGAGCTTTATATGTATATTTATATGTATTATAACACATAATGAACTTTTTAACCAATTTTTTAACAATCGGGGAGAGAGTCGAAAAATCTGGAAAAATATTTTTTTATACATTAAAATATTATTTTTATACTTTCAGTTTTCCTATATCTTAGAAAAAAAGTTGAACGTATTTTGCCTCATTTTTAAGAAAAAAAATTTTCCAGATTTTTCGATTCTCTCCCCGATTATTAAGAAATTTGTTAAAAAATTTATTGTTAAATAAACAATGGAAAACGAAATCTTTTCGGAATATTAATATTTTTCCTGTAAACTAGAACATTTTTAGCATAAATTAAAAAGACAAAGTCAGCTAGCATTATTAGTAATAAAGATATGAATCTTCGCAGAATAAAGTAGTTTCATTTTTAATTACTTATATCTCGATCAATTTTGCAATAAAAAACGATTTTTTTACACAAATTTCTCCAAGAGCGTTATCTATGTGCATGTTCTGAGAGATGATTGATTTGTTTCATGCAGAATATATAATATACCGGGTGGTCCACTTAAATCGAACACATCTTGAATATTTCGTTTATTTTTGACAATACGAAAAAAATGTTTCAAATAAAAATGGAACGGTGTCGAGGGGGACATTTTAGTCATGTTTTTCTTCTAAGTGAAGGCGCTAAAAAGATATGAAGGTCACCTCCACTTTTTTAAATGGATTATGTAATTTTTTTTAGATAACATGATTCCTCTAATTATTTTTGCATATAAAAGTATTAAGGTAGAGATATCAAAAAACTAATAGTTTTCGAGATATTTTACACTTTATTTTGGTACATATTGACATAAAATAAAGTATACATGATAATGAAATCGGCCAATGACGGTCAAAGCTGGATTTTGGTTGCTAAATGTAATGTGTGAATTTTATTTACTACGTATGTAGTCCTCAATCGCGTGCTGAAATTTTTCCAGACTTACAACGCAACTCTAATCAAATATCGTAGTAATATCACTTTATTTTAGTTAAATTGACACAAACAATCTAACAAATTTTTGATGCTTAAAGCATCTTATTGGATCTTAATAATATGTTGAGACATTAAAAATTTTTTTTTTTTTTAACGATACATTTAGCAACCAAAATCCTGCTCTGACCGTCATTGGCCGATTTCATTATCATATATACTTTGTTTTAAACATCGACGGTCTTACACAAATCTTAGTTTTAGAAAAACGTTGCCTGCAAAATACGTTCAAAATAATACTTAAAACGGAAAGCATTGTGAAGAATATCACTCGTCGACCAGCCAACAGAGGTCTATAGTTACTCTTGCCAATTCTCGCAAGTACCAAGATACATGTGTATCTGTTTATATAGAACTTCTTTCTAAAATCTCCCTAAGGCATCTAAGGTAGGCTCCCACTACATTATCTTACTGATGAGTCTAGTAGTGAGAAGCCGGGACGAAACGCCAACTTGTGATATTCTTCGCAATCTTATTTTTCATAGAATTTAATTTATCTTTAATTTAACATTACATCGTTAAAAAAAAAAAATTTTAATATGTCTTTCAACATATTATTAAGATATAAATAGAAATTAAAAAGACAAATTAAGAGTCAAACATTAAAATTTCTTTAATCGCGTAGTCAAAAGATAAAATGAAATAATATAACATGACAGGAAAGTGAGAATAAATTCGAAGATATCAAAATATACATAAATATAAAAAACAAGAACAGACTTAATACAAAAATAAATAACCGTAATCATAAAATCTATAAAACTTTACATATTTCGACTCGTGGATTGAGTCTTCTTCAGAAGTAACAGAATAATGCAGATAAATCATTGATGAAATAAAGATGCATCCGTCATCAAGGTAAAGAATTCATTATAAACGATTAGTAGATCGATAATAAATCTATAAAAGAATTAAAACATTACCTTTCTGTAAACTATAGAATTATTTATGTATAAATGATTAACAAGAACTAAAATTTAAAGTTTCCAAACCTTGATAAATGGATACATCAGCACACGCTTATCAAATAACAGGTTGTCAAGCTTGTCGAAATACATAGTTAGACGACGACACGAAAGCAGAAAAATTCACATGTCTGTACGATACAAAAATTAGCTATGATATAAAAAGGAAGCAGCACAGCAAAGTCAAACTTTGTTTATCAACGGAATGTATATCTCATGAAGGTTTTATTGTTAAGATCCAATAAGATGCTTTATAAGCATAAAAAATTTGTTAGATTGTTTGTGTCAATTTAACTAAAATAAAGTGATATTACTACAGTTGATTAGAGTTGCGTTGTAGTCTGGAAAAATTCCATCACGCGATTGAGGACTACATATGTAGTAAATAAAATTCACACATTACATTTAGCAACCAAAATCCTGCTCTGACCGTCATTGGCCGATTTCATTATCATGTATACTTTGTTTTAAACATCGACGGTCTTACACAAATCTTAGTTTTTTACATAAAATGTTAAATAACTCGTAAACTGTTGACTTTTTGATTATCGTACCTTAATACTTTTGTGAACAGAATAATGAGATAAATCAAATGATGCAAAGAAAACACATAGTTGCTTTAAAAAAATGTGTATACAAAATGGATAATTTTTTAAATACGCTGCAACTATGTGTTTTCTTTACACCATTTGAATTATCTCATTATTCTGTTCACAAAAGTATTAAGATACGATAATCAAAAAGTCAACAGTTTACGAGTTATTTAACATTTTATGTCAATAAGTACCAAAAT